GGGTAGTTGTAGAGAGTGATGAGGTTCTCCCCTGACCTCCTCTTCTCCAGGCTAAACACACTGGCAGTACAAGCGGGAACACCTCAGAGCACTAACACACAGGGGTAGGAGGGGAGATCATGCAATTTCTTGCTCACAACGAGGACCAGAGCATCATCTGGGAGCCCTGAACCACTGTTTGAGTGCAGTAGGTGGGTGCACACAGAGGTTTGCTTCAGTCTCCCCAGACCTCTTCCTGGCCAGGTTCTCCCTCCATGGCTGCCAAGCACCTATAGCCAACGGGGTGGGACAGCCTTCACAGTAAATTCATGCAGCCCCAGTTTACCTGTTCTTCATTTGTTGCTCCTAAGAGCAAAGACATGTGAAATCTCCTGCTTGCTCATTCTCCCCAGACCAGAATAAAAAGTCATTTCTTGAAATACTCTCAGTGCATTTTTGCTGCAGCAGCACTAGGAACCAAAAGTCATTTCTTGAAATGCTCTTGGTGCATTTTTGCTGCAGCAGCACTAGGAACACACCAGGGTTGTGCCTGAGAGGTTCAGCAGGACCCTTCCATACAGCAGCGCTCCCAGGCACCAGTGACGGGGTATCGCCGAGTCTTATGTACTCACCACACCCCCACAGCCCCCAACATCATCAGTATTATACCTCCCACCAACCCCATCCCAGAAACCACTCCCCCAGCACTTACTGGCCCAAGCCTCAACTTTTTGGCTTTCTCTCAACTGCTGGGTGCCTTAGTGCTGAACTAGGGGAGGGCACACAAGAAAGGGCACAAACACAGGGAGGCCTGGGACGCCCAAATAAAGACCCTTGGCTCAGACAATCAGCACATGTGAAAAAACCTGCTATTCACATCCCCTTCTGGGACCAAAATCACGGAAGGGGGGTTGCATTTGGGACACACAGGGACATTCTCACTGGACAGCCCAGATACGAACTGGAACCAGCCCCACAGCCGGCTGGCCCAGGAGCTGAGTTACCCTGAGGTTTGCAAGGAAATACAGCCTCCTCCTTTGAGAGCCAGCTCTGCTCAGCAGAAATCAGTCCCTGCCTGGATTAGGACTGATATTTTAGCTGTTTGGCTTTACTTCGTAAATCCCTTTCAACACGTTCATCCTAAAAGAGCACAATCCCCGCACATTAATTTGGGCACAGCGTTTCTAAGCTCAGACATCGATGGGTTGTGTGGAGAAACACATGAGAGATCCTGAGGGAGATGGGAGAGTAAAAAGCTTATTTTGTAATTCCAACAGTTGCTTCAGGCTGGAGGAGAGACATCCCAAGGTCCCTGCCGGCCTCAATTACCCTACAACCCTACAGCACTTTGCAGACGGAGCACAGCAATGCCTCTGCCAGGCCCAGGAACGGGGCCGCCTCTGGGCAGGGGCAGCACGAGCAGCAAGAGAAGGGAAAGCCACCGGTAGAGCACACAGCACGCTGCTCCGAACCCCTAGTCTGACCACCCGACGTTTACGCTGCCCCAGCACCTTGGGCTGCAAACCCTGCCACCAGCTCTGTGTCCCAAGCCAGGGACTCACCCCGCTCCCCCAAACACCCCAGGGATACCACAGCAACCTACCTGCTGGCTCGCGGGGGGCTCACCACGAAGAGGGGCTGAGAAGGGAACAGCGGGATAGCCTCCTTCCTGCCTGAACTGCCGGCTGCAGGACGAGCATGACCTGACATGGCCAGACCTCCCACCCCAGCCCTGTCTCTGTGTCCCAAGCCAGGGACTCACCCCGCTCCCCCAAACACCCCAGGGATACCACAGCAACCTACCTGCTGGCTCGCGGGGGGCTCACCACGAAGAGGGGCTGAGAAGGGAACAGCGGGATAGCCTCCTTCCTGCCTGAACTGCCGGCTGCAGGACGAGCATGACCTGACATGGCCAGACCTCCCACCCCAGCCCTGTTACCCCGCCAAGGACGAGCATGACCTGGCATGGCCAGACCTCCCACCCCAGCCCTGTTACCCCACCACAGCTGGGCTTAATCCCAAATTAAAGCCAGGGGAGGGAGCACTTGGCTGCACTTGTGCAGGTCCCCAGCCCAGCTTTCCTCTGCCGGGATGGACTTGTGAGCTTTGCAGTTCCCTGTGGCTATTTTTAATAAAACTCTAAATGCAGCCAGGTCCCCACGGCAGGCTCATTCCCTGGCCTGCTGACGGGACATTGTGAAGAGTAGGTTGCGACCCCCAGGCTTGCTGGGGGAGCAGCATTTTCTTACGGCCAAAGGAAAAGATGGAGCTCACCTGCTCTGCCCCTGTTTCCTGCTCATAAACCCCAGTTTCTGCCTTTGCTCTCTGGCATTTTCAGCAGAGTGGAATGGCATGAGCCCTGGCATGAGTGGTATCGCGGTGGGGACCCAGCGCTGCTGCTGGCTCAGGGTCAGGGCAGGTTTCTGAGGGGTCTAGGCAGGCTGTCACCCTGTCGGCTTCCCACCCTTGCTCCAAGAGTGCCACAGTTTCTCAGCAACACGCACCGCTTTTTCCCATAAGGCGAACCCAAATTATTTTTCCCAGCGTCAGAAGCAGCACAAAAAACAGTGATGATATTTTCCTTTAGACTTTTTGACTTTTAACTCCTCAGGGTCGCCTTGGCTGGCAGCCGTAGCGCAGGGGAGGGCAAAGGCAACAGAGATGATGTTTTGCTAAATGACACCTGGGAAGGGGCAGCCTCAGCAAAGCCGTTTCATGGAACGGGTGCAGCCCTGTGGCGCTCAACCCTTGGAAGAAAGGATGGCTGTGGATCCGGCCACGGTGACTCTTCATGGTCAGAAATACCCCAGCCACCAGCAGCTGCCTGTGCTCAGTCGCTCCTCCGGCGCTGGGGTTCAGGTGGCCTTGGATCCCCCTCTGGGGACCACACTCCCCATCAGTCTGCATACTTTGAGGAGACTTTTCTGCCACAGCTTCAAGAGATTAACTTTTTTTAGCACTGATTTCCCAAACAGCCCCGCTAATGACACACCACAATGGCATGAATTATTCAGCAGCGTGAGGATAAGGCGAGCTGCAGCAAGATGCTGGCGCAGCACCCATCCATCTCCGAGCGTGGGCTTTTGCTCCTTCGATCTCTCGGGCGAATCAGCAGCAGCTCGGCATCCACCACGCTGCTGCCATGAGCACATGCCAGGCTCTTTTTTTCAGCTGCAGCCCCACTTTCGGCATAAACCCGCCTGCTGGGTCCCAGGACACAGCCAAGAAGCCAAGGCG